AGACTTCATCTCTCATATTTTAGACATATTATTTGAAGGGATCAGTCCTTAGAGAAGGGCATCACGCTTGGTAAAGTGGAGCATCAGCAAAAAAGAGGAAGGTGCCAGAGGGATGGATTGGCACAGCGGCAACAGCAACTGAGTTCAACAATGTTTGTGAGATAAGTCCAGTTACATCTAGTTAGCTGATCTTTGACAAAGGGCCGAAACACAATTAATGGGGAAAAGATAATCTCTTCAACACTTTGTTGTTACTGTTAAGTCAGTTTTGGCTTATAATGACCCTGTGCAGGGTTTTCAAGTAGCAGCTGTTGTATTTGAATTGCCCACCTAGTGGTTCGCAGTCCAGTGCTGATCCTAAAGCACCATACCGACCCTGTATAGGGTTTCCAAGGAGTTGCTGGTGAGCTTGAACCACCAACCTTGCAGTTCAAACAACTTTGTAGTCTGATGCATTATTCCCACAGCGCCACACCAGGACTCCTTCCATAAAGATTACAGCCTACAAAAAGTTGCTGTGTCTCAGAATCAGCTTGATGACACCCAACATTATGCCTTTATTGATGCTCTCCTTTTGTTTATGTATTATCTTTTCTGATTTCCTTTTGTTCTTCAGCCATATTTTGCTTTAGTTCTTTGTGCATATGTAAGACTTAATTTAAATTTAAATTCCTCTATTCTATCCAGTATTTGGGCTTCCATTTGTATGGTTTCTGGTACATAATTTTGATGTTTTGAATGGGCCACCCTTTTCTGTTTCTTCATATGAGTTTGATTTTTCTGTTGAAACTAGGACATTTGAATATCATGATATAGTACTAACCTTCTGATATTATAATACAAAATCTATAAAGGTAAAACAACAAATCCCTGAGACTCAGATTCTTTCCGTTCTCTTCGGTTTGTAAGTTTTCTTTTTTCAATTGTTGACGGGAGCTCTGGTAGCGTAGTGGTTACGAATCGGGCTGCGAACCTTAAGGTCAGCGGTTCGAAACTACCAGCTGCTCCGCGGGAGAAAGATGAGGCTTTCTACTCCCGTAAAGATTTACACCCTCGGAAACCCTGTACAGGGTCGCTATGGGTCGGAACCGACTCGATGGCACATAACAACAACAACATAGTATTTTAGCGGCTCAGCCACCTCCCTTTAACACAATGGAAATACCCAGACACTAAGGAATCTGTTTCCCAATCTGCACCCAACTAAGCCACCTTATGCTTTGAAAGAGATTTCCTTGTACTCCAGAAAAAAAAGAAACACACGCACATGTACACACATACACATATACACACACACTAACCTTTTCCAATCTCTGCAACTTGGCTCCATATCAGGGCCCTCGTTCTAAAATATTTTATTTTACAACTCCTTCTGGCATCTTTGGGAACTAGAAACTGTTGTGTTATTTTTAAAAGATGAAAGGAATGAGGCACAGAGGTTTAAAATCATGCTCAAAGGGACTAGTCCAATAAGCTGTGGAATTGAGATTTACACTAAGGCATCATGTGATTTCAGAATCCAGGCTGTGCACTGTATCATCCTTAATGATGGTGGGATGCTCAATGCAGCATCTTCCTGTGATGGCAAAAAAAGGTTTCCTTTTCCCAAGGAAATCCCAAAGGTAAATAAATAACACAGTTTTCTCAGGCATCTTATTTTTAAGGAAAGACATAGTTGGGGTATAAAATTGGACTGAAATTCCACTGAGATCAGTTTAATTTTGTATCTTCAGGTATAGGCTCTTGAGCTTTTATTTCTTCAGGGACCTAATTTTAAATGATTGAAAATCACCAAGAAAATGTCCTTTATCCTGTTCAGTATGTGAGTCAATGTGCAGGACAAGACACATTTGTCTACTCTCAGGCTGACCAACAAGAGGATTTGTCTTCGTCACCAAGTTGCCATTGTGAATGAAGCTGAGTCTCCCATTCTTACTGTAGATAATGATCATTCTCATAGGAGCAGTTAAAGACTTAAATAATATCGTAAAAAGAGTGAGGACACTGCATTTTGGATAAGATGAAGTTTATGATGGAAAAAAAATCATAGTGTGTTTGAACTCTGGAAACATAACCATTCCATCTCAGGGTCCCTAAAAAGAATAGAGTCAAGCATTTTGTGCATATCTTTATTATCCTAAACAACTAGCTATGTGACTTTTTCTGAACTGAATGTCCTCCACTTTTTAGTTTTGTTTCATATAATATAGAGATATTGCAAGATACATGAGAAATTCTAAGGTCACAGGCTGATAGATATGGAAGGCTATAGAGATTATCTGTCTTGTTTCATAGAAGACAAAACGATTTCTGTATTTGTATAAAGAGTTTTTGTTGTTGTTAGGTGTCATCAAGCCAGGTCCAGTGAGCAGAAAACACTGCCCAACCCCGAGTCATCCTCACGTTCAGTGCTGTGTTTGAGCCCATTGTTACCACCACTGCCAATGCATATTGTTGTAGATATTCCTCTTTTTCACTGACTTTCTACTTTTCTAACAATGATGTCCTTAGGAATCGACCCTTTCTGATAACATGTCTTTCTGATAGTATGTGACATGATAGTATGTGACATGAAGTCTCACCTTTCTGATAGTATGTGACATGAAGTCTCACCATTCTTACTTCTAAGGAGCATTCTAAGACGGAGCTGTTCCTTCTCATAGTCCATAGGATAGTCAATATTCTTTGAAAACACTATAATTTAGTTTTGTTAGATGAAAACTAGAAGCAGTCTGTGCTATCCCCTACTTCCAAAAACATACTTGTGAATACTTGTTTCGGCATAAGGCAGAAACATTTCTCCAATGGAGAAACATAAAATAATGATAAAATAATAATTTAAAGAAAAATTGTTGTTGTGAAGTGCTGTTGAATTGTTTCCGACCCACAGCGACCCTGTATAGGGTCCGAGGAGCGGCTGGTGAGCTTGAACTGCCGACCTTGCAGTTCAAATGTCTTTGCAGTCTGGCACATTAATTCACTGCACCACACCAGGACTCCTAAAGAAAGATAATCATTATTTATTAACTATTTTAAAATATCATGTTGAATGTTTTACATATTAATTACCATATTATTTAAGAATGATATGTTAATTTTATTATATTTATAGAGAAAATTAATTGAACTGATTATTGTTATATAAAATAATTCTTTTCATATAAATTATCCTATACTGTAATCTTTTAGCACCTTTAAAGAGCTTGACTTCATCTGCTTTGACTAATGAGTCAGAGAAGTAGTTTGTTCTTAAAAGATTCCCTGCACAAAATGGTATGCATTTGACATTTTCCATATATTGTTCATAAAATTGCTGTCTCCACACAGATTTCAGGATAAGTGTCTTAACAGAATTTATATAAAGTATGAAAAATCAGATTAAATTATTTACTTGACTACATTAAAATATTCTTCATAAATACAAAGGGATTATAGGTAGAAAATAAGTAGAGTTGAAGTTAGTCAAACCCACTGCAGACACTTAATTTTCAATATAATTTTTGTAACAAATTGCTGTCTTTTATTTTCAAGATCACTTAATTTCAAAGTATGTTGTTGTCGTTGTCAAGTGCCATTGAATCGCTTCTGACACAGAGTGAACCAAGGCGTCCCAAGGAGCATCTGGTGAGCTTGAGCAGTCAACCTTGCCATTCACACCAACCTTACAGTCCGATGCTTATTCTACAGTTGTTTGTGCTGCCAAGTCAGTTGTGGCTCATAGTGACTGTACATAGAGTTTCTGAGGATTCCTGGCTCAGCACTGTGGGTTAATGCTCTGGACTGCAAAGTCACTATGAACTGCAAGGTCAGTGGTTCAAGCTCACCAGCTGCTCCTCATAAACCCTATACAGTGTCGCTATGTGTTAGAACCTACTCAATGGCACTTAACAACAACAACAACAATAGGGCTTCCTAGAAGCAGCTGGTGGATTTAAACTGCCAACCTCCCAATCTATCATATTATTTTCTTGTTTTCGATGCCCCTTTAACTTTACATATTTAGGGCCGATCATTATTAACATGAACAACTGTTACTACTTTTTCCTACTAATCTTCAGGAGTCCTGGTGTGGCATTATAAGGTAAGCACTGGGCTGCCAACTGCAAGGTTGGTGGTTCCTGTTATCAGAAACCCCTATATAGGTCACTGTGAGTTGGAATCGACAGGATATCACTTAATAACAGCAACAACAATCTTCTTCAGATTGAGTAACCTCTATGTTAGTTGTATAAATGACCCGTTTCACATCTCTTTGTTAGGATGAATATACTGATTAGCATGTATGTGAATTATGACTTACTATCATTAGAATAAGGAGCTGTGGTAGCATAGTGGTTATGAATTGGGCTGTGAACCTCAAAGTCAACAGTTCGAAACTATCAGCTGTTCCACGGGAGAAAGATGAGGCTTTCTGCTTCTGTAAAGATTTACAGCCTCGGAAACCTTGTAAAGGGTTGTTATGAGTGGGAACCGACTCCATGGCACATAACTACCACAACCACCATCGTTCGAATGATATTTTTTCATTCTATATATAGGTCAAGACCTCTTAAGCTTAAGCTTTCCCAGATAACTAGTGTTAGGATCTGAACATCTCATCAGATTTTCAATGAATTCTGTTGAGTGTATTTCTAAGTGGGTTTTATAACCTCATCATATAGTAAGATGAAACATGGAGAATGACTCCCGTTTCTACAATTGACTACAATTTTAGGATTTTAAGGAGTTTAAGATAATATAGCTAGACTTTTCTTTTGATGAAAGGGAGTATAGAATCAAAAATATCAAGAGTCAATCACTCAGGTTTACACAGGATTTTAGAATAACTACGCAGAGTTAGTATCTAGGACTATCGCTCCCTAGTTCAGCAATAGCCTAATGATTATCACTTTTAGACCTCTTTAAAATAACCTGTCACTGACTTAAAAGACTATTTGTAAATACTAATGACGGTGGTAACAAAAATATTGCTCTTTGTTATAACAGATTACAATCAACTAATGGAGGATACAAATCAGACACTAGTGACGGAATTTCTTTTCCTGGGCCTCACTGATGGTCTCCACCAGCAGATGATTCTTTTCATCATGCTCCTCTTTGTTTACCTCCTCACACTGTGGGGTAACCTGGGAATGATCGCACTCATATGGACTGATTCTAGACTCCACACTCCTATGTACTTTTTTCTTAGCCACTTGGCCTTTGTAGATATTTGTTCCTCTTCTTCCATTGCCCCAAAGATGCTGTGTGGTATTTTTGTGGAGAAAAAAGACATCTCCTTCCTGGGTTGTGCTGCACAAATGTGGTTCTTTGGTCTCTTTATGGCAACTGAGTGTTTTCTCCTGACTTCTATGGCATATGATCGGTATGTGGCTATCTGTAAACCCTTGTTGTACACACTCATTATGTCCCAACGGGTCTGTGTGCAGCTAGTGGTAGGGCCTTATGCCGTGGCTCTTATAAGCACCATGACCCATACAACATTGACTTTTTGCTTACCATTCTGTGGTCCCAATATCATCAATCACTTCTTCTGTGATGTTCCACCACTGATCTCCCTGGCTTGTGCAGACACCTGGATCCATAAATTAGTGCTTTTCATCTTGGCTGGAGCAATAGGAGTATTCAGTGGTCTGATCATTATGGTCTCCTATATTTGTATTCTGATGACCATCTTAAGGATCCAGTCAGTTGATGGGAGGAGGAAAGCCTTCTCCACTTGCTCTTCTCATTTGACAGCTGTCTCCATCCTATATGGGACTCTTTTCTTTATTTATGTTCTGCCTAGCTCAAGTTCCTCCCTGGATATCAATAAAGTGATTTTTCTGTTTTATACTGTGATAAACCCCATGCTGAATCCCCTTGTTTATAGTCTGAGAAACAAAGATGTGAAAGATGCATTCAGAAGAAAGTTTGAAAGAAAAAAACTTTCTAGTGGGTAAGTAAAATAGAATTTTATTTGTGTTGCTTCATAGATGTTGATGCAACATGAATAGTAAAAGGAGCAGTAATCTGGGAGTTAGAGCTTACAGATAATAAATCTAACAAAGCACATATTTTTCAATTAACAGTGTTCAAAAAATAGTTGTTGTTGTTGTTGTTAAGTGCCGTGGAGTCGGTTCTGACTCATAGTGACCCTGCACAGGGTTTCCAAGGCTGTAAATCTTTATGGGAGCAGAACACCTCATCTTTCTCCCACGGAACAGCTTGTAGTTTTGAACTGCTGACCTTACAGTTCACAGCCAGATTCGTAACCACTACGTTACCAGAGCTCCTTGGAGAAGTTCTTAAATATTTTTCTGTTTCAATCTTATTCTTTGTCACATGATGAGGACTTCAAGTAATGTAGACCTGGATTTGGAATATTATTTTAAGAATACACCAGGAGACTGGGCCTTCCGGCTTTGTTTTCTCTTTCCGGACTTGAGACTTCCTCCACAAACATGCTTCACCAGAACCTCAGTCAGGCCAAGAAACACCCAAGCTATCCCTCTCTTTGTGTTTATTGGAGCTGGAGGTACGGGAGCAGCACTGTATGCCATGCATCTGGCATTGTTTAATCCAGATGTTAGTTGGGACAGAAATAATAACCCAGAACCATGGGACAAACTGGGCCCCAATGAGCAATACAAGTTCTACTCAGTGAATGTGGATTACAGAAAATTGAAGAAAGAAGGCCCTGACTTCTAAATGAAATGTTTTCCCTTAAAGCTGCTTAGAATGAAGGGCTTCCAGAAGCCATCTGCACAATTTCCCACTTAACCAGAATATCTTTCTTCCCTAAATGCATGGAATCATGTTGATGTATTGTGTTGGGATTTACACTGAATAATAAATATCTGAAACTTAAAAAAAAAAAAGAATATACTAGGAGAAAACATTAGTGAATAGTTGTATAGTTTTGGATGAATTTTTAAAAAACCAGACATAACCATTAACTAGAAGACATAAAGGAGAAAAATCAAAATACCACAACCACATAAAAAGGCAAATGGTAAAATCAAGGAAGATATCTGCAACACATTTACCAAATAATGGAGTAATATTCCTAATGCAGAACAGGCACAGATTCCCAATCAAAGAAGCAAAAGCTATACATGAAAGGGTGAACAAATGAAAGGGTGAACAAATGTATAGACAACTGACAAAAAATGGTAATGCAAATTGGAAAAAATGTTGTGAAAAATGCTCACTGTGGCCCAAACTGCCAATAATGTGCTTTTTCATCCCTTAATGGCCACTGTTCCTATTTGGCCACTGATATTCTTATTATTTGTTGCTCGTGTATAAATTGTTCCATTCCTACAAAGTAATTTTCTGATCTCTATTTAAAATGCTAAATTAACATAGCTTCTGCGTAACGAATCCCCCGATAAGGAGTTAATACCACAAAAAAATATAAATGCCAATGCAAAATATTACAGATATTTAACATTATGTGACAGAGAAAAAGAAAGACAACCCACTACTAGATGATTTATCCACCACTATCCACCCACATGGAGTCCTGGTGTGGCGCTGTGGGTTAATGCCCCAGATTGTGCAAAGTCATTTGAACTGCAAGGTCAGCAGTTCAAGCTCACCAGCTGCTCCTCGGAAACCCTATACAGGGTGGCTATGGGTCAGAACTGACTTGATAGTACTTAACAACAACAACATACATCCACATACATCATAGTGTGATGCTGTAGGATAAACATTAGATTGCTAACCACCATGTCGGTGGTTTAAAACCACCAGCCACTCCTCGGACAGCCCATATATTGCTATAACTAGGAACTGACTTGAGGGCACTTAAAAACAACATCCATCCACTTGACTGTCTACCTGTTGTTCTGCGGTGGCTTGTGTGTTGTGATGCTTGAAACTATGCCACCAGGAAGGTCACCCAGGTGGACAGATTTCAACAGGGTTTCCAGACTATGACAGACTAGGAAGAAGAATGAGTGACTACCTCCAGTGCTGCATCAGTTTGCTGAAAGAGTTCAGTTTTTATTCCATCAGGTCTTGAAGGCTTGTTCTTTACCAAGGCTTTCAGTGCACCTTGGCTCTTGATCATATGCTACCTCTTGAAATGGTTGAGCATTGGACATTTCTTTTTGGTATAGTGACTATGTATTCCTTCCATCTTCTTTTTATGCTTGCTGCATCATTCACTATTTTACCCTTGTTGTTAACTGCCATTGAATTGGTTCCGACTGTAGTGACCCTATATACAGTTTCTGAGGATCAGCTAGTGGATTTGGACTGCCAAAATTGGAGTTCAAACCGACATTGCAGTCAAGTGCTTATTCTGATGTGACATCCTAGAACTTTAAATATTGCAAATCAAGGCTTGATTTTTTTTCTTCAGTTCTTTCAGCTTGAGAAATACTAAGCATGTTCTCCCCTTTGGTTTTCTAACTCGAGGGTTTGGCACATTTCATTATAATGGGTCTTGACTTGGTCTTCTCAACTGCCCTTAGAAATTTCTGTTTAGATTTCTCAACTCCTCATTTCTTCCATTTGCTTTAGCATCTCTATGCTGAAGAGTAAGTTTCAGAGTCTCTTCTAACATATATAATGTATTTTTCCTTCTTTCTTGCCTTCTTAATGGCCTTTTGCTTTCTAGTTGTATGATGTTCTTGAAGTCATCCCACAACTTTTCTGGAGCTCTGGTAGCATAGTGGTTACGAATCGGACTGCGAACCACAAGGTCAGCAGTTTGAAACTACCAGCTGTTTCACAGGAGAAAGATGAGGCATTCTGTTCCTGTAAAGATTTACAGCCTCAGAAACCCTGTTCAGGGTCGCTACGAGTTGGAACTTACTCCATGGCACACAGTCACCAACCAATGCATCAAATCTGTTCTTAAGATGGTCTCTAAATTTAGGTGAGGCACTCTTTCCTCTATGCCAAAAAATTCAGAAGACAGCTACTTGGTCAACTTATTGAAAGAGATCAATACTTGTGCCCATTCAAAAAAGAGGTGATCTAACAGAATGTGGAAATAATTGGACAATATTATTACTATTACATACAAGTAAAATTTTGCATAAGATATTTAAAAAATGTCTGCAAAAGTACATGACAGGGAACTGCTTGGGGTCCAAGCTAGATTCAGCAAGGACGTGGAATGAGGGATGTCATTGCTGACTTTAGACAGATTTTGGCTAAAAGCAGACAATACCAGAAAGATATTTACCTGTGTTTTATTGACTACGCAAAGGCTTTCAACTGTGTGGATAATGGCAAGCTAAGTATTACCTAGCAAAGAATGGATATTCCAGAACATTTAGTTGTGTTAATGAGGAATCTGTACATAGACCAAGAGGCAGTTGTTTGAACAGAACAAGGGACGATGAATGATTTAAAATCAGTAAAGACGTGCAGTAGTGTTGTATTATTTCACCTTAATTATTCTGTCTGTATGTTGAGCAAATAATCTGAGAAGCTGGATTATATGAACAGATCAGGATTAGAGGAAGATTCATTAACAATATTGCTGCATGCAGATGATACAATCTTGCTTGCGGAAATTGAAGCAGACTTAAAATACCTACTAATGAAGATCAAAGACCACAACCTTCAGTAGGGGTTGCACCTCAACGTAAATAAAAGAAAAATCCTCACCAATGGATCAATTAATAACATGATGATAAATGGAGAAAAGATAGAAACTGTCAAAGACTTCATTTTACTTGAATCCATAATCAACACTAATGTAGAAATCAAACAACATATCACATTAGGCAAATCTATTGAGCAAGATCTCTTTTAAGTGCTTAAAAGCAAAGATACCATCTTGAGGACCAAGGTGCACCTCAATCAAGCCATGATATTTTCAATAGCCTCACATGAATGTGAAAGTGGACAATGAATAAGGAAGATTGTAGAAGAAATGATGCATTTAATTTATGATGTTAAAGACTATCAAAAGTACCATGGACTTCCAGAAGAATAAACAAATCTGTGTTGGAAGTAGTACATCCAGAATGCTCCTTCGATGTCAGGATGTCTAGACTTCATCTTTCATACTTTGGAAATGTTATATGGAGTGACTAGTTCATGGAGAAAGACATCATGCTTGGTAAAGTGGATGGTCAGAAAAAAAGAAGAAGAACCCCACTAGGATGGATTGGCACAGAGGCAGCAGCAATGGGCCCATGAATAATGATTGTGAGGATGGTACAGGACAGGGCAGTGACTCATTCTGTTGTGCACAGGGTTACTATGAGTTGGAACCAACTCAATGGTACTCAACAACCACAAGGAAGAAGGACCTGGCACTCCACTTCTAAAACAATTGGACCACTTAATCCTTATGAATTGTTGTTGTCAAATGCTGTCGAATCAATTACAACTCATAGCGACCCTTTATAGGGTTTTTGAGGAGTGGCTAGAGCTTGAACTGCTGACCTTGCAGTTCATACTAACCTTGTAGTCCAGTGCATTAACCCACAGTGCCACGCCAATACTTACGAATAGGTGCAGATAATTGTATGCTATAATGTTTGAAGAAGAAGCTGTTAGGGTGGAAGTCACTGAAAATATGACTGGAGAAGAGTTGCCTCCTCAAAGTACAGTTGAACCTAATGGTATGGATGGAGTAAAGCTTTCAGGACCTTCATTTGTTGATGTGGCATGACTCAAAAGGAGAAAAAACAGCTGCAAACATCCATTAATAATACGAATAGTTTGAGTTGCTGTGATTCTGAGGGCTATGCCACCGGTGTTTTAAATAACCAGCAGGGTCACCCATGGTGGAAAGGTTTCAGATGAGCTACAA